TGAGGTGATCGACACTTTGGTATTTTTTAGAGCCAATCTTGGTTTCAAAAGTAAATGTTTGTGTGCCCAGGGATTTTATAAACCTCCACAATATTTTCGCGATAATATTTGGCATTTATTCTAATGCTGATTAAAATGAGCGGAGAGCGATCATCGCCTGTTATGGCGGCCCACACCATCACCATGACCGGCGCTTGAGTTCTGGTGGCCACCGAAGGTGCACATTTTCAGCTGACCTCTTTGGTAAGTTAACACGATCATTTTGTTTGTTTACAAACTGCTGGACAACGAATGTTTTCTCATTGGATAAAACCAAATTCGGCAGTTCACCACTTTCGGCCAAGCGAAGCAACTCTTTATCTTTTTTGAGTATATTTTCTTTTTTTGTTCTTGCACTTTTTGGAATTTCAATGGCATTACCCCGAGGTCATTTTTCAATATTTTCTGAATGGAATATTTCGATATGTTAGCTCACGAGCCATTTTTCGTTTCGATCAAGTCGTTTCTTTCCAACTATTTCTGCTGATGTTGCTGTTTTCTTCTGTCCACTTCCTTGACGTCTGGCTACGCCACCAGTATCACGGTAACGAGCGATGGTACGAGACACAAAAGATTTGTTCACATTTAAATTCTGGAGTGCTCTTGTGGTTTTCCAGCCAAATACAAATAGCTCTCATATATATCCTCATCCGATTTCGGTTTGATTGTGTACAAGAGGCCAATATCTGTTCAATTGACCTCAAATTTGGTACTTCCGACCGAATTCAGTCTAGAAGCAAGTACATTATATTTTAGAAAATCGGTTCAGATATAGCTATAGCTCTTATATATATGATTCATCCGATTTGGTGTTTACGTCCCTCACATTCGTAATATGCATTCGACAACAATGATTTTATCATGATCGGTTTAAAATTTTATCAAGATCGGTTCAGATTTTGATATAGCTCCCATATATGTCTTCAACCGATTTCGTGTTAATTGTGCACCAAATGGCCAATAACAGTCCAAATGACCTGAATTTTGGAGCGTATATCAAATACTGGAGCAATCTTGAATAGCTTTAGCATGAAGAGATTATATCTCTCCCCACTGTGCGTTGATTCTATATCAGGCAGTCAGTTATTTCACAACTCTTTTATATGAAGGGTGCCTTTCTATGAAGTTTTTTATCTGAATCACTCTCTTGTCTGACATGAATCAGTCTTTTAAGTTATTTATGTATCTTTCTAAACCTATCGTTTGATATTTTTAAGAGAAAGTGATTTGTCTGAGCCTTCCTTTGTCTTTAATCGAACGTTAGCTCAATACGAAATTGTGTAAAATGCCCTAATTAACTTTTTGATGAATGTAGACGTAGTATCGGAGGATAAGGTCCTTATGTGTTCTAACAAAAAACTACAACATTTACAATCTATTGGAAACAATATTTAATAACCCACTCTATATATATTTTTGTTTCAACATTGAATTATTAAAATTAAATATTTAACTGTATACTATTCTTCATGACTGCAAATTTTCAGGTCAAAGACTTCGGAGAATATGTGTATTTCGACCTTTTACTTACATGAACATTTTCCTTTTTCTCGCATTTCTTCATCCAAAAATATTAAAAAAAAACAAATATGTAATTTTAGTCCTCTGAGTACATTTTCCACCAATCATGTGTGTTCTTGCCATGTTTGTAATATTAAGTAGATATGATTTCGTTGGAATTCCAATTACTTGCATATCTTTTCAATCCCTTTCAATTCAGTGCAGACAGCACAAAGTACTCAGTTCAATTAAAAAATGATTTTTGGGTAAAGACTGCTGAGCAGAAACAGAGGTATGCCTTCGAATTTAAATAAGTAAATCTTGGGGAATACTTACATTATGGTCCGTTCTTATATCTTTCCTTTATAGACCACTTTTGTTATCCCTTACTTTGGCAAAAGTGAAGGATAAAGTTCACATTATCGGGTTCTCATTATTACATCTTTCCTTTAAAATATATGTATTTTTTTACAAAGATATGGCAAGTTTTTTGTAAAAGTAACTGGTAGTCGCTGCACTTTTTTCACAATGCCATCTCAATTTTAGTTAAAAAATAATGAACAAAACCAATTTGTAATTAGTTTCGTGAAATAAATTTTTAATTCAGTTCTTCAATATAAAATAAACGATTTGCGTTATCAATATTTGCTGCTATTGCCATGTTTTCAATATAAAATATGGCAACATGAATTCAGTAAACTTTACGTGAAAAGATAAAGGAAAGATGGTCTGATATTTTGCTTATCGGACAGTTCATACTTAAATGAAACTTGTAACAACGAAAAATGATTTATATGTCCGATAACATTACTTTTTTATCTATCAGAAAGATGTAATAACCGGCTTATGTCTAAATGCATTGAAATGGTGGCATTGGCAACACCTAAAAACCTTTAAGAATATTTAATATTTTTTCTACTTGTTGCGATAGCAAATTATGAACCTTTGGGTTGACAAATGAGGCATTATATGGGGAATATTACAACAATACCAGAGACAGACGGATATCGACTTAGAATGTTATGCCGATCATGCAGTGGATCCAGAAGAAATTCGTACACCTAAAGAAATTCATAATATTGAGTTATATCGTCGACGTATTAATTGACTGACAATGACCTCAAAAAATTATTACGGGGGCAGATCGGAAACTTCATCGCCTAACACAAAAAGCGTGGTATAAACATAAAAAAGTTAAGTGTGGAAATTTCCATCTCTGTTATGAACACATGTTAAATTTTGTTTCGGTCTGGTAACTATTTCATATAGAAGCAGGTGTTCAAAAAAAGATGCATCCGATTTTTTTTACAATGGAAAAATTAGTATTGCGAGGTGTCATTAAATATTTACATAAAAAACAAGTAAAAAAGCTGTAAGTTCGGCCGGGCCGAACTTTTAATACCCTCCACCATTTGGTACAAATTTGGCAATTTCCAAAAAAAATAAAATAAATAAATAAATAAATAAAATAAAAAAATCCTTTAAAAATTCTGTTAAAATCTTAAAAATACCGAATGTCTATACGACGACGTATACATGCATAGGCAACTTTTGTCATAAGTTATTACAACATTTAAATGCGAAACATGAAGAAAAATTTGTTTATAATGTAGCTAAAATCATCAAAATACCGAATATAGGGGGTACCGTTATATGGGGGCTATACCAAGACGTGGACCTGCACAGACAATTTTCTGGCATGGGCTGAAGTATCCATTACGAACTTCAAATGCGAAATTTAAAACAATCCCGGTAAATAATGTCGCTAAAATCATCAAAATACCGAATATCGGGGGGTACGGTATAAGGGGCCTATACGAAGACGTGGACCTACATGGTCCATTTTCTGTTTTCTGCTGCAGTATCTATTACGAACTTCAAATACCAAATTTGGAACGGTTCCGTTAAATAATGTCGCTAAAATCATCAAAATACCGAATATCGGGGGGTACGGTATATGGGGGCTATACGAAGACGTGGACCTACATGGCCCATTTTCTGTTTTCTGCTGCAGTATATATTACGAACTTCAAATACCAAATTTGGAACGGTTCCGTTAAATAATGTCGCTAAAATCATCAAAATACCGAATATCGGGGGGTACCGTTATATGGGGGCTATATGAAAACTTGGACCTACATGACCCATTTACGAACTTAACCTGCCTACTGGCAAAATATACATGTGTGCAAAATTTTAGCCTTCTATCTCAATTTGTTCGAAAGATAGCGTGATTACAACAGACAGACAGACAGACACACAGACAGACAGACGGACATGGCTAAATCGTCTTAGAATTTTACGCTGATCAAGAATATATATACTTTGTTGGGTCTGACGTGAGTATTTCGAGGAGTTACAAACGGAATGACAAAATTAATATACCCTCCATAGTATGGTGGAGGGTATAAAAATTATCGGGACAAGAAATTCATAATGATATGGTGAATGAGTAAGGTGGAAGTGCTCCTTCATATGCAACTGTAAAAAATTGGGTTGTTGCATTTAAACCTGGTCGTAAAAGCATTGAATATCAACCACGTAGTGGACGTCCAAAAACAGCAACAATAAGAGAAATTGTAGCCAAGGTGCATAATATGGTTTTAAGTGATCGGCGAATAAAAGTGCGTGAAATTGCTAATATCATGGGCACCTCAAATGGTTGAGTCCATTTAATTTAGCATGGAGAACTACAGATAAAAAAGCTTTCTGGAAGATGGGTACCGCATTTGTTAAGAGTTGATCAAAAACGCGTAAGAATGAACATTTCTCAAGCTAGTTTGGATTTTTGTAAGCGGAATAAAATAGATTTTAAGCGTCGTTTCATGTCTGTTTATGTAATATGGATCCACCACTATACTCCAGAGCCAAAGAACAGTTCAAACAATGGACTGAAGCTGGAGGAAGTGCCCCAATGAAGGCAACCATAATTCGATCGGCTGGCAAGGTTATGGCAACGGGTTTTTGGGACTTCAAAGGTATTTTATTGATTGACTATCTGCAAAAGGATAAAACAATAAATTCAGAGTACTATTGCATCCTTTTGAATCAGTTAAATGTACAAATTCGAGAAAAACGTCCTGGCTTAGAACACAAAAAAATCATTTTTCATTAAGACAATGCACCAGCGCCCAAGAGTGTTTGAACAATGGCTAAAATCAACAAATTAAAGTACGAGTAGCTTGAACACCCACCTTATTCTCCTGATTTAGCTCCCAGTGACTTTTAATTGTTTCCAAATCTAAAAAAATCCTTGCTGGCAAGCGTTTTACCTCAAATGAAGATGCAATTACAGTTGCAAAACCATTATTTTGAAGACGTTGAGGAAAACTATTTTAATCAATGGATAAAAAAACTAACCATTCTCTTTCATTGATAAGCTAAGAAGTTTCCGAACCGCCCTCGTAATGTATTTGACAAGAGTGCTCAGGTGCTTTTAGACATTCGAGTTTCGCTTGAATTCATTTCGATGGGGTAACAATAATTTCAATAGCAATGAATTTCAGTTTTAGCTGTTACAATTTTGTTCGGTGCAAATTATTTCATAAAATGTTTAAATTATTAAATCGCTACTTACATCGATATTTTTATCTCGACTTAGGAAATGTTCAGCAACATGTACGGGTAAAATATTTTCCAAAAGCTTCCGATTGTAGGCCTGTAAATGTTCCATGTCTTCTTTTTCCTCTGTAAGAAAAATAAAACATGTGTTTGAAAAGAGTTAGGAGAAAAGATAGTTCGGGGCCACCTATGGAAGATTTTACAAGTTTATAAAAAATCAGTAAATTAAAAGATACATAGTTCGGTTGTGGTACTTATATGTAAGGACACTACAAATTAGATAGAAATGTTGACGAAACAAATTGAATCGGGATTTATCCTCATATGGTTGGCTTTACAATTTTTTTTTCTTAAATGAATAATCTTTATAAATGGATAACTATCAAAACACTTTACCACCACATTATAAACTAGGTCCCAAAAGTTTCCCTCGAAAGTTAAAGGTTATATCTGGTGAAATGTAGTTCAAATTATTGATATCCCCGATATTCGATAATTTGATGATTTCAGTCACATTTTTCCATGGCATTGTCTGAAATTATGTAAGAGAATTGTATATATTGCTCCACGATATCGTATAACAGTACCTCCCGATATTCGGTATTTAAATGATTTTAGCCACATTTTTCAATGGAATTGTCTGAAATTCCACACAAGGAATTCCTTCTGAGTACTATACTCACTGGAAGATAATTTTCTATATAGGTCCACGGTATCGTAAATCCCCCATATAACGGTACCTCCAGATTTTCGTAGCCACATTTTTTGATGATCGTAGCCACATTTTTTAATGGAATTGTTTGAAATTCCGCACAAGGAGTTCCTTGTTCTTTATCCCCTGGAAGAGAACTATCTATATAGGTCCACGTCTTCGTATAACTCCCATATAACGGTACTCCCCGATATTCGGTATTTTGATGATATTGAAATTCTACACAACGAGTTCTTTGTAAGTAATTTATCCCCTAGAAGAGAATTGTCTATATAGGTCCACAATATCGTATATCCCCCATATATAGGCACCTTCCGATATTCGGTATTTTTAAAGGTTTTAATAGAATTTTTAATGGATGTTTTTTTTTTTTTAATTTGCTATTTGGTCCCAGATGGTGGAGGGTATTTAAAGTTCGGCGGCCGAACTTACTGCTTTTTATACCCTACACCACAAGGTGGTCAGGGTATTATGTCTTTGTGCATTTGTTTGTAACAGGCAAAAGGAAACGAGAAAGACCCATAGTTCCTTTTGATGATCTGCATAGAATCACTTTCTGAGTTGATTTATGCATGTCAGTCCGTCTGTCCATGTATTCTTGTGAACAAAATGCAGGTCGAATTTATTATCCGATTGAGATGAAATTTTCCAAACAACATTTGTTTGGCCCAAGGACGAACCCTATTGAAATTGGAGATAATCGGTAAAAATTTAGATATAGCTCCCATATATATCTTCGTCCGATTTGCCTTTTATTGTGCACCAAACGTGTAATATCAGCCCGAATAGTATGGAATTTTGCACATACAACCAAATTAGGCATAAAAATAAGTGTGCCAAATTTGATCGAAATCGGTTCAGATATAGCTATAGCTCCCATATATATTGTTCATCCGATTTGTTATTTTTGTCCTCCGCAGCCGTATGATGCCCTCTGTAACAACAATATTTGGGGAAATATTTTAAATGCAGCTCAGAAATACCTTTGCTAAATTTTATCGAGATCGGTTCAGATTTGGATGTAGCTCCCATATATAACTTCGTCCGATTTACCTTTTATTGTGCACCAAACGTCTAATATTTGCCCAAATGCGATGGAATTTGGCACATACGACCGAATTGAGTCTAGAAGGTAGTATGCCAAATTTGGTGAAGATCGGTTCAGATATAGTTATAGCTCCCATATATATTGTTCATCCGATTTGTTGTATTTGTTACCCACAGCCGTAATATGCACTCCGTAACAACGATATTCAGGGAAGTAAATCAAATACAACTCAGAAATAACTTTACTAAATTTTATCGAGATCGGTTCAGATTTGGATATATCTCCCATATATATCTTTATGGATACAAATGCTTCGGCATATTTATTACTTTGAGTTTTAAATTATAATTATAACCATAGCGTGTATGATTGAAATCTCCCATAAAAATCTTTTAATTGTTATGCTCAGCTCTACTAAATTAGTAAAGTGGTGTAGGGTATCATAAAATCGGCCCGCCCGACTTTAGGACTTGCTTTACTGGTTTGCTTGTTTATAATTCACTAGCTGGCCCGGTCCGCGTTGCCGGCCCATAGTTTTGTCAAAGCATAATTATTCAAAGATATGAATGTTATAAATGTTCACGTACTGGTCGATTAGTTTTTAATTTTTAGTCAAATGAGCAGTAATTTGGAATTTACTGTACTTTGTACAACTCATAATTGAGGGCTAATTGATTTAAGAATAGGCAAAGTTAATTACTTTTTTAAACCCATTAGCACCTCAGATTGTGCATTAGAGTCCTCATAAGTCCCCCTAATCATGTCGGTCTGTTTGTCCGCCAAAAGGTGGACTTGAGGGGATACTATTACATGGAGAAAATCCTAAAATTTGTAGATATGTTGAAATTTTTGTGTAAGATTTTCCTCCACCAAATACACATTTTTAGCCAAATCCTTTGAAATATGGTAAAATGCGAAACATCGACCTACATTGAAAACTTTCTTCACCCCTTATAATCCAAGATGACAAATAGAGGCCAAATCAAAAATATAGCTATTTTACATCCATTACCGTAAGATGGGAATTAATTTTATTTGCCATTTAAATTGTAAGTTGGAGTCCATATTTTTCATCATAGTATAATTCTATGACGATTCAACAAATATTCGGTCCCGTGCTACTTTCTTATATTTGTAATTTGTTCATGTTTTCACAATTTATTTCATATAGATGTATATCCCAAATCTACGTTCCCAACCAATATTCTCTTGGGGGTTACAAATTCAATAGAATACAAATTTTTCTTTTCTGACCACACATTAGATTGTGGGGACTTTACATGAATAAATTTCTATGTGGCAATTATCTGTACGATGGTTCCTTACCCCAGGGTAGCATAAATACAATTTTTTAGTGGTCAAGACCAATATGGGCCCTACTCCGAACATTTTATGCGAAGAGGTTCTCTACCCCCTTAGAAACAAAGATGCCAAATAAGGGCCAAAAATAGAAGAAAATGGCGAAGACTCCAAAAATGGCTTAAATCATACGATGATTATTTATGATCGATATCACGACCTGCAAAAGCGATTTAAGGTATCTTAAATGTTCAGGCAGAATTTTTGGAAGGATAGAAATCCTTTTCTTACATTTCTTGCATTTTGAGCTCTCATTGAACGGATTATTGTCACATGAACGAAGTAGGGCCACGCTTTGAAATAAGCCCCATTAGTCTTTTTCGGTCATTTTTGTTTGTTTAAATGTGTTCGCATCTTCCAGCTGAACTACGATGTAGGCCCTGAAGTTGAAAGGTAGATGTCAGTTAACATCCTATTTCGCACTTATTTCATTTTTTTGGTGAAAAATTGTATATAGTGAAAAATTATTCTTTATTTTGTTCACAAAAAATCCACTGAATTCAATATGATAGTACAAATTGAAAAAAAAAATGCAAAAGAAGAATAACAAATTGAAAAAATCTTCCACTTGTTCGCTGATTTTTTGCAGCAAATGTTTAAAGATCCTTACAAAGTTTGTCAATAGAATGTACTTTTATTTTAAAATTCAATTCCATTGGAATTTTTTTTCGACATTTTCCCGTTTTGAGAATTGTTGCAATGAGATCTCTTTTTTCGTATTTTTTTTAACGATTTTGAAAAAGTAATTTTCTTTTAACTTTGGTGTGACCGCATTAAATTATTTCGGTATCATCTATTTCGTTTCGCCACCACATAATTCGGTACTACACTTCCATGTAACCCGGCATCAATTTCAGTTCTCAAGAAATCAAGTTAATTAAATAAATTGGTATTAATAATCGAATTCAAAAATAAAATATAAAAAACACTACAAATGTACATTAGAAAAAAGTAAGTCAAAATGGAAAAAATCATGCAAAATAAAACATTACTATTGTACATTTCAAAAGTCAAAATGAAAATGTTAACATATTACATTTTTACGCGATTTTTTTGGATATTATCCTTTTCGGATAAGAGACAATTCCGAATTTGTATGAATCATTAAAATCAGTTCAGCGGTTCTTAAGTTATAAGCGTAGTAACTAACACAACTTTCATTTATATATATAGATTTAGAGTTAAGATATTTCATTAGTTCAGAGACATATAATAAAATGGAATCTTCATTATTTGCCTCCCTTTTGCTACTTCCCCCCATCCAAATTTTGTTAAGATCAGTTCAGAATTGAATATAGCTCCCTTATATATATTCATTCGATTTATATATATTCATTGTGAACCAAATGTGTTATATTAGCCTAACTTGGATACATTTTGGCACATTTGACCAAAAGCAAGTTCGTCATATTTGGTGAAAATCAAAAAAGTAAACATTTATTTGCTAAAGGTAGTTCTACCAAGTATATATGTAGTGGTCTAGGGAATATTAAAGTCGGTCCGCCCGATTTTGTCCTTTCTTTATTGGTTCTCCCCAAATTTAATTTAAAAGGAAGCAAGTAATAAGAACAATGACTTTTCACCAAATACCTTAAAAATATTGTTTAAACCAAGCATATACGTATTTATCCATTTTAACCCATTCTACCTGGTATTTACCCATTGTGTATTCATTCACTGTTCATGATTCCTTTTAATCTTTGGATATGCAATGCCTCAAGAGATTTTTTCTGTGTAATTTTAAAAATATTTTCAAAATTTAAAACGTATAGAAAAATGGCATTTTAAATATATTGCTTGGAGAAAATTAATACGTTGAGTATTCGTTTTTGATTTTTACTTCTAAGATTACATATTATACAATCATTTTCAATACATAGATCCTTGCTGTTTTTTATTTTCTATTACATCCGTTTTTCTCTTACATGTCTTGTTGGATGACATTCCTTGTGAATATGACAATAACGTCACAGTATAAAATGCAAAGATATTGATTTACAAAATGAT